GCACAGGGGAAGGGGGCGTGGGTGGTCATGAAAGGGCACGGGCCCCACCCTGACCTGAAAAAAAAAAAAAAAAAAAAAACATAAACAAACAAACAAACAAAACGCGAAAACAAAGGCACATGTGTGTGTGTGTGTGTGTGTGTGTGTGTGTGTGCTGGCTGGGGATACTTTCTTTTTGTTTTTCCCCCTAAGCGCCTCGCCCACCCCCAGGTGGAGCTCAACATGCACGCGTCAGCAGCAGACTTGTGAGTGGGCACTTGGCGCTTCCTTCTGTTTCTTTTCTTATAGACTGAAAACTACATATACACCTGTGCAAGTGTGCGGCTACGTCGCAGTCGGGTGTGTGGGGACAGTTCACTCAACCACAAAAACATTGGGAACCTTGCATCTTCTATTATTATATTGCCCACCTTTACTTTTTTGTTTCATGGATTGTTTGTGATGGTTTGTGGATGGGAGAAGGAGAGAGAGAGAGAGAGAGAGAGAGAGAGAGAGAGAGAGAGAGAGAGAGAGAGAGAGATGACCCTCCCTACCTTGCACAATCAACAGGATTGATATCTTCGAGCGTGCCACTGACTGTTTTCCCACCTGCCTTATTGCCCCTGACCTTCCGTGTTCTCAGAACGATACTGAAAGCATACTGAGGGGACATATTGATTATAGTATGACATGTGCTGTCATATCTCACTTCGAGTAAGTTCTGAGGCTAGAATCGGAAACAACATCTACAGTGCACACACACAGCCACACACACACACACAACCATAGAAACTACTTGTTCACTGATTGTCAGAGATACACCTCATACTTTGGACACAGTCTTCAGTGCATTCTTCAGTGTGTTTCATTGTCCCTCTCCCATGTATCCTGCGACCCAACCTTGATCGAAATGGCCAATGTGTTTGTGCTGGTGAGATGCGCTCATGGTGTCGCTGCCTCGCTCTTGACCATGCCGGACTACGAGGTACACCCCCCCAAATTAGTGTTGATCGGGTGGACCGTGCTCCGCAATCAGTCATGACGCACATCCGGAACACAATGTCCGACCGTCGACCACGAAATCACCAGGTTCAGCATCGTCTCCCCTACGAAAAACCCTCAGCAAGGTAGGTCACTTTGGGATTGGGAGGGGTTGTCCCCTTCGTGTTAGATGATGTACTGTCTACAGTTGGTTAACCAGTATGCTGCAGCACAGCGTCTGGAGATGACCACGATTGCGAAGCTTTGAACCATCATGTTCGAATACAAGTAAAATAGCAGGCGGAGATCCGTCTTTGTTCTGTTTTCTTTTTCTTTTTTTTTTTTTTTGTCGATCTGTGGCATGAGTCGTTTCATGTCTTTTTCAGAGTTTTTTTCCGTTTTTTTTTCCAGGACTCGCGCGTGTAGTTTTGCTTGGGGCTGGCACGAGCTCAGATTGTTCACCTGTTCTTTTGTCATTTAGCGGTCTCTTATATGGCGAGGCCTGGCATTGCGATGATGCTCTTCGCAAGGTCGCTTCTCACTTGCGACAGCTAGGTTCATCGAAGCCAGCTGCATTCAAACACAACGACGGGGTTAGTTAGCCTGATTACAAGTTCTCACCTGATGGTAAACAGGCTATGAATTGGCATTTCCCCTACGCTCTCAAAGGAAACAGCGGATCTCACATGATCATCACACGCGAGACGCCGCTTCCAGTGTTGGGGAAACAACCATCGGGGCCAAAACACCAGGCCCGGGGGCAGGGCAAAAAAAGGGCGCGTGTGGGGTCTCGCTCGTTGGAACAACAAGTTCAACCACAAGTACACAGCATCTGCTCTGTGGCCCAATGGACCTTGCTTTCCATCTCACCAAATATTCTCAACCACGGTGAATCCGCAGGTGGAACGGGGAAAGATACATGCTAGGCGTTGACGGCCATAGCCAACTCTGCCCCCCTAGCTCTCACTCAACCTGAAAGCAATGCGTGTTTCTTTCGCCTCACTCCACCACTCCCGAAATGTATCAAATGAGACTGAATCGTCCACTACAGCTTGGAAAGATACACCACCATCTTTATCTTTATTTTTGCTTTTATTTTTATTTGTCTTCTGCATCCATCTCATCCTCCTACACCACCATTTTTATTTTTTGTTTTATTTTTATTTTTATTTTTATTTTTATTTTTATTCCGCATCCATCTCATCCTCCTCTCGCTACCCTATCTATAGTACAGGGGAACACCAACCAAACCTGGAACTCTCCCTGTGCATGTCGGGAGTATCGGAGCAAGGCCCTTCTCCCGTCTTCTCCCGAAAGCAACGGGCGTTTTCTTTGTTTTGTCGTTTCCCTGGGGGCCTCCCTACACTAAAAAGGGATCTTCCACTAGAACATCAGTAGAAGGGATCTTCCACTAGAACATGGAAAGATACCGCCATATTTTTCGGCTTCTGCGAATGGAGCGAGCCACTGAATACTCTGCTACAGACCTGAGTTCAAACCCTGCAAGAAGTAGATGAAGCAGACGAGAAAAATACTGCAATCCTCAATTGTCTAGGGCAGGTCATCCCATCCTCCAGGACATCCGCTAAAATCGGAGCGATGCAACGACGAAGAAAATAATTCAAAAAAATGCCGTGTCTTGGGCCTCACTCCGTTCTACTCCACACATCCAGTCTACCGGAAGATTCATTCTCATTGGCCCGCCGTGGACACAGTGGGCATCCGCTTGTTATATTCTAAAGGGAGGAAAATGACAAACCCGACGCGTCTGTCATACTCACACTGGCGCTTCCGACGTAGATGCATGTGACTGTAATGAGGTCCAGAGGTATCTTAAAAAAGTCCTTGTGCGAGTGTCCCCCTATTCTCTTCATGTGAGCGGCACGGGATTCAAACACGCGTCTGTTTGCAAACAGTTGCGGCTGTGTGTAGCCACACAGGGGTGGGTGTACCGGGCTTAGTATGAAAGGGGAAAAACAAAAAAACAAAAACGTGGTGTGACTGTGCCCCCGCCGATGGGTGTCCACAGGAAAAAGGCCTTCTCCACTGGAACTTCCCTACATGTATCTGACTGGAATTACAGTCTGGCTGGACCTGGACGTCAGTTCCAGACCTCGGCGCGGCGTCACCATGCCAGGTACACTATTACTTATTCTTAAACCACCAGTACCTCAGCCATATATCAGCCGTGGACGCTTGCCCGTTAACGCGCCTTACAAGTCGGGGCCGCACAAGCCCAACAGCCGGTCGCAGAGAAAGAGGCCAATTTCTACATTCCATAAAAAACACAACAAAAACAAAAAAACAATGCGCTCAAATACAAAAGACAAAAAACATGACAAACAAACGATCCTCGTGCACGCCCGCACAGAGAGAGAGAGAGAGAGGGAGGGAGTAAAACAACGCATTTGCTGCACCAGTGGCAACGAACACGGCAGAACTCTCTCTCTCTCTCTCTCTCTCTCTCTCTCTCTCTCTCTCAGCAGGCTACTTTCTATCCAAAATGGGTGTGAATCTAGCCACCTCCTTCACAGGTACATTCATTCTTATTTTGCACCTCTCTCTCATGCCGTCCCTCCCCCCTCCCAGCCACCCAGCCCCCTCTCGAGCTGACAGAAACGCGGTGCTTTTCTATTCTTTTCTTTTCTTCCCTTTTTGTTTAGAAGAACGTTGTTTGTTTTGATTTTTTTTCTGTGTTTTGTTTTTTTATGTGTGCCTACCGGTAGCTCGAGGCTTAGCAAGCTTCGCGTTGCTCAGGATTAGGATCGGCCTGAACAACCGCTAGCTACTGGTGGTTTAAAGCAAAATGTGGGTCTCATGTGACGCTCCCACAGAAAAAAAGGCTCCAGATGTGCAGAGCTGGGCAGGACTGCCATTTGATGCTTCTGGATAGGGTGACGCAGCCGTTGGGGGAGTTCACATTTTTTCTTTTTGGGTCATACCCACAAATCATCAAAAATTGTGAATGAAGTTGGCCATGTCGTTTCGTTTGTTGTTGCTTTTGCCCGGTCCCTGCTTTTGTTGTTTCACAAGTGCAACAAGGCACCAGGGCGCTGTCCCCCATCCCCCCCACACTTTTCGGGTCTACGGTTTCATCCTCATTCTACAAATTTGCTGCCCCAGTTTTTCCTCCTTTCTGTTCGAGGCGGTTCTCGTGTTCAAATACAAGCGCATCGATGCCCGGTTTTGTGTGGAGCGAGACCCTCGTACGATGCCCGGCTTTTGTGTGGAGTGAGGCCCTCGTACTGGCACTTTCGATCGTTGAGAGGACGAGCCATCCCAGCCACATACCATCACCCACAGAGCGAAGGTCAAAAAAAATTCGATGCCATTTTTCTTTCTTCCTTTCTGTCCGGGGTCCGAATGTTAGGTGGTTCTCATGCTCGAATACAAGTACATAGCCACCCGATTTTGAGCAACTTCGGACATAGGTTCCCTACTACCCACATGTACAAAAAAATAGAATTGCGGCAGTACATCGTCCCATTTTCGAGCGGAAGATTCATTCTCATTTTGCACATTTGGTGAGTACTGGAGCGAGGCCCTCCCACTGGCACTTTAGGCCATTAGGGGTGGTGAGCCGTCCAGCCCAGGGACCATCACCCGCGTAGACAAGGTTAAAAAAAAAAACTCGGAAGGAAGACTAAACGCCGACTACTAGACTCGGTCCCGGATTTGCCCCTAGTTGCAAATGAGGGGTGGCATTGTTACTTTTCCCTTAAAGGGTGGGTGGGTGGGTTTGGGGGGTGGGGGGGGTGAGTTATCCCGCCCACGTAGGGAAGATGCATTGCCGTGCCGAGGAGCAAACTGTCCCCGATCAAAGACACGATACTTTGATTGCCATGGACACAAACTCTGAGAATCCCCATCGAGGGAAGATGCATTGCCGTGCCGAGGAGCGAACTGTCCCCGATCAAAGACACGGTACTTACTTTGATTGCCATGGACACAAACTCTGAGAATCCCCATCGTTGTCGCAGGTTCACAATCTCAAAACCAAACACTAGACGTATTGTGGACACAGCCCTACCAGTATTGAGCAGCCCAGCTGTTCCGTAGCCTCATTCATGTTGTGCACTAGAACTCTCTCTCTCAAGAGGAATCTCCCATATCTGCACTGCAGTTCCAGCGGCATAAGACTCTGGAAGCAATTGTGGCTTTTATGAATCAGAAGTCACCACGGGGAGAACACCACACACAAACACTCCGCTAAAAATGCGGCCAGAATCCACAAAGAAACTGTGCTTATGTTCATCAGTTACCTTACCACGTTTTTCGCAACAAGGGCAACACTCGCCGCCGTCCAAACAATCCATGGGATGACCAACCACATCGGGTTAGGGAAAGCTTCTGCATCTGCATTCACCGGTCATGAAGGCACAGTCAGTATACCTGTCCTATTTGAGCGGGACAGGTCCAAGGGAGAGGTTTACCTCGAATACAGACGAAAAGATCATGCGTGCTATTTGAGCGGGACAGCCGGGGCGACAACTTCTCCCTCCTGACACTGTGAGACGTGTAAAAAAAAGAAAAGAAAACAAAAGAAAAGAAAAGGACTTGATTGTCCAGCATACATGTTACGTTGGCTGACAACCGAGTCCCATAAACCATCCAGCCAAACCCACAGCTTCCTGAAGCCACCTCCCTGCAGCACACTCCATACAAGTCAGATCGGAAGAAGCCAAGCCAGAGTACACGAGCCTTTCAACTGGGATTTTGTATCCAGAATGGAGAGACTGCCACAAGTCAGATCGGAAGAAGCCAAGCCAGAGTACACGAGGCCTTCAACTGGGATTTTGTATCCAGAATGGAGAGACTGCCTCCCCCCCCCCCCCCCCCCCCCCCCCCCCCCTTCCCCCGTCCCCCGCAAACACACACCTTGCTGGAAATCCTCACCTACCCTGGATCACAGCAAGGGGAAATGATGCCCCAGGCATTGTGGCCAGGCATCTGTGTGGGTAGCAGGGCAACAGATCTAGTAGGTCCAGTCCACAGTCTGGCAATTGCATGATCGGCATACTTCTAACGGAGAAGAAAAAGGTGGAGAAAAAGGACGGCAATAGACACAACAGCCATTGAGACAGCAACCATTGGAGGCGAGGACAGCACGCAGTCAAGAAAATCTTATTTCCAGAGAAAGTTTGATGTTACATTGATATGGGACAAAGGCCCAGAGAAGAAAATGGAAACAAGGGGAATACCAAAGAACATAATCACATACCTGACTAAACGCCCAAACTGCCACCACACCACCCCCACACAAGGGGGGGGGGGGGGGGGGGACACGTAGTCGCCCACCTGGAAAATCTGATTTCCACCCTCCTCCCTTATTCAGGGGTGAGGAAATCAATAACACTTCCGTCTTAGCAAAGAGACGATCCGCACACTGTAAATACAAAGGTCCACTTCGTGCATGACTATCCTCATCTCCCCCTCCCATTTATCTGCAACAACCAACATTGCTACCCCTGCCACCAATCTTCACTCCATGCTTGGTTTGCTCTCCCGTGCTCTAGAGGCTAATTGCATCAACTGGAAAACGCAAGAAAAAGGGAAAACGGAAAGGAACCCAACCCCTTTGCTGACGGCAGCCATAGCCTTCCTCGTCTCCCTTCCATTTACCTGCAACAACCAACGTTGCTAGCCCTGCCACCATTCTTCACTCCATGCTTGGTTTGCTCTCCCGTGCTCTAGCGGCTAATTGCATCAACTGGAAAACGCGAGAAAAAGGGAAAACGGAAAGGGAATCCAACCCCTTTGCTGACAGGAACCATAGCCTGAAGTCCATCCCCCCCATCCGCCTCCCCCTTGTCCCCCTCCCCCTGCAACTCCTACATCCCAAGCTTTGCCTGCAAGGTGAACCATCTGCAAGCACATAGCACATGAACTGTCTGATTCCCGGCGCAAAGTTTGTGTATTATTCTCACAAGCTCCTATAATCAATCACTGTAACCTCATCAGTCGGCGCATCCAAGTCAACATAGCTGCACATACAAGACAACAAAGACACAAGCGCAATAACACCGTACATCAGAAAATACATAAAACACAATTCACATCACAATATTCATATAGAACTGCTGGGGAATGCAAATCATTTCCCGAAGCACCAATTTCAGTGTCCAGAGCGTTACCCTGACACAACCAAGACTGTGGGAAGCAGTAGAAAAACAAATACGACGTTGTGAAGTGATAGTCAGAACCGCAGCTCCTCATCTAATCCGACTCCTATAGGTATCCAACCAGTTAGACCTCTCTCTCTCTCTCTCTCTCTCTCTCTCTCTCTCTCTCTCTCTCTCTCTCTCTATCTATCTATCTATCTATCTATCTATCTATCTATCTCTAACACACACACAATCAGCTTTATGTAATTCATTTTTTTTTGTTCGCTTTCGGTTTCCTTACTTTCCATGCGAGCAGAGAAATACATATCCGTGGTGCAAATGGCCTATGGGTGATGATAGACGTCCATCAGAGTGGCTTCCGGGCTCTCCAGGTTGTGGGAACCAACAGTCTATGCGGTTCTTCTTGTGGTGTGAGTATGTCCTTTGCTTCATGTCCGAAGTGTGGACTGCCTTGTCTATGCTCCACAACCGCCTTGGTGTGTTGCTGTGCAATTTGCCCGAGTTGTTGGTGTTGCCCTGTGCTTCGCAAAATTGCCTCGCTGCCCATCTGCATGCCTCGTCTTCGTCACTTGTGCTGTCATCCCATGCTGTTAGTTTCGACGTTGTGCGGTTTGGTTGTCCCGGCAGCATTGACTAGTGCTTCGCTGAGCCGCAGCCTGCTGCTACTTTCCGCTTGTCGTGTTGCCTGCTCGCAGTCTGCTTTCAACAACTAGGGTCAAAGGGTTCATGACCCAAAGCATCAAATATGGGGATTTACGGATTGTTGAGGGTTCAGCACATTGATGAGACGGCGCAACGTGTTTTTTTTGCTAATTCCTCTATTTCTACTTTGCCTTGCTGCGATTTGGCTTGGTTTTATCCCCTATGGTTCTATTTCTTTTCTGCTTCATAGCCTTTCAAAGCTTGACATTAGGTGCATTCATTTCATGGGCATGGCTGGCTGCGGGCTGCTTTTTATGTGTTGTCTATATAAGCACCTCTCTCAACGGCACATGCTTCGGCACGGTCGCGGAAGTCTTGTACCACACAAACACAAGCATGCGCGCACGCACTCACAGTGCTCATAGGAAGTGAGCCCCCTACGCACGCTTAAACGACCAGTACCTCGCCCAGCATTAAAAACATAAAGAAGTCTTGGTGCGTTAACGACTGCCCCGGTCGTTGCAATTTGGGGGCTACAGCTCCCTGCAATTTGGGGGCTACAGTTCCCAAAAAAAAAAATAAAAAAAATTAAAAAAAATCACTTCAATGATGACGGGGAGAGGTCATCCCAGAGACCGTTCTCTGGGTAGAGTTCATTCGAGAGAGGATCTTTCCTCAAATAACAG